GGGAGAGGAGACAGACACACCAGTGGAGGGCCAGAAAAAGATATGATTTGGACTGAGCAGCCCAGAAAGGATTAGTGTTGCATGGACTGCTGCTATAAGAGTCAGGAAGGTCAAAGAAGGCAGTTTCAGTTACTAGAAAGAGAGAGACAATGGGATCTAGATGTGTGATTTTGTTGTCTAGAAAAAAGTGCAGGTGATTTAAATTGTTATAAACAAGACTTGGAATCCAGCGTAAATCCCCTCCCACTCCCAATGCACACCAAGTACGGGGAAACAAATTCCAGTGCACGACAGATGTCATGTCCAGAGCTCTTAACATCCAGTGCCTTAGCCTAATTGCAATCAGTCTTCGTTTTAGTTGAATGTGATTAGGGACAGAATTTACACTAGCTGCCTGATTCCAAGCCCCTTGAGACTGGAGAAAAAGTGTCATTTGGATTCAGATTCTGCAGGTTACACCCAGCCTCTATCTAGGGCATTGCATTAGGTTTCAACCAGATAAGTAAACCTTAGTTTTATGAGCACAAATAACACAAAAGAAAAAACAAGATCCCATCTTAGAGTTTGGTTTCAGGAAGTCAAACACTTTTTGCCCAGTTCTTAAAAAACCTAGCACCTAAATGGAGACTACGTGTTGTGCCCATCCCAGAGCAAAGCTGGCTCACAGAGCTTATGAACAACGACCATGGAGGACACAAACTTTCAGGGATTGTGACCCAGTGATGTGCAATGAAGAAAAAAACTGGAACTTATGCAAGAGCATCCAGGACTGGCTTGGACTGCAGAGCAGAGTTTGGTCACATGCCGACATGCACAGACTTATCTGCGTATAGTTCACATTCGCACCCGTAAAATAGTATTGGCAAACGGAAAAATTGGTGTGTTCCCCCCTCCCCCCTCCTGCGTTTCTCTCAGCCACGCCACATAATGGATAAAGCTAAACTAGTGCTTTAGGATCTTGTCTAGCTACTTCTGTCCCCAAATCGACTTCCGGCATCTTTTAAATGCTGGGAAATGGCCTCCTTCTAAATAACTGTTGCAATGAACTAATCAGTGTGGACGTGGCACCACTGCCCTCTACTGCATCAAATTGGAACTGCTTCGATGTGGGTCATAGACGTCACACTGCTGACCGCTAAGCTTCTGCTCTCGTTTTCCCTTTTTCCCTCAAATGGGTGAATCTTGAGTTCTGTGGCCACTGAGGTTCAAGAAGGCATAGTGGTGGCTGTCACATTCTCAGTAGCCTTGAGCTATGTACAATAACACTATCCTAACATGATGTGAGAGGTTAGAATAAAACCAAGCAGGTCTTCTAGATGTTGGACTGACCTAGTTCAGGCAATGTTCTGATCTCTTTTTACAGCAATCACTAGCAAAGTTTGGCCCCAAATCCGAATTTATTGGCTAAGATTTATTTTTAAAAATGGCTGTTTGCCATTAGGCTCCTAAGTCCATATTTAGGTATCCAAATAAGAGGTCTGATATATTTTTTTCCTTCCAAAAAGCTCAAGGCCTCAGCCAAAGTCTGGTAGAGCACCTAGGTATAGCGAGAGATTTTGGAAAATCACATCTTCTTGGGTGCCCAAATGTGTACTTCAAAATACTAATGTTGAGCCTCCTTTTATCAAAAATACATAGGCCGTGGTAGAATTTCCAGGCTACAGGACTGGGCCTCATCTAGAATGAGCTGTGTTCTCATCTGAAATATCAGTGCCTTTACCAAGACACGGCATTCTGGACTTGGTGGTCGGGCTACATCTAAACAGTCTGCCCCCTATGCCCTTCCATCCTGCTGCTTTTATTTTCAGTTGGCTATATGTCTTTCACTTCCTGTCCTAAACTCTTATGTAGTATCCGTGTGACATCAGCTGCATTCCACCCCAGAAGTCACTGCCTTTCAGTGACTTGTGTGTATATATAGTTTGTAAAGATATCTGTAAAACTCTTCGGGTCCAATGGGATGAAAGATGCTATAGAAATGTGTGATATATTAGGTATTATTAATAACTGTTTAGCTTCTTAGCAAACACAGGTGCAAAATACTCCTTCCTTGGTACATAGAACAAATGTACCTCACTCACAACAGGCTCAGTTCTGCACTGTTGCCAGTTTGTGGGGTCATTTGTCCCTGAGGAGAAGGGGCATTAAATACAACTGCTTTAATATGGCAGCATTTTGCATGGATGTAAATGGGGACGTAAGGTGCAAGGCGGGAGGAATTGGAGGTCTTAGAGCTGTAGCATGCATCTTGCTGAGTATGCACCCCAAATCTGAAATACTGAATCATGAGGGGCCAACCCTTCCCCCACCAACCTGAACCTGACTTTCAGAGGCGTGGAGTGCCTGTATTTTCTAATGCCTTCTGGCATGGCTGGGCACCCATGCATGTCTCTGAAAGTCAGATCCATAAAGGGCAGCAGGCCAGCTTCTCTTCTCAGAGCAGCTTAACTCCACTGACTTCAGTGAAGTTACTCTGATTTTACCCCCTGGGGTGGAGGAGGGAACCTGGCTCAGTATTTCATGGATGGGAGGGATTTGCTCCTTGCAGCTGTGTTGTAAATATCAAGCTTTATAATCTATTATGTCAACCTTGATGCCTCTAAAAATAACGTTGCGTTTTGCCCTCCCCCACTGCAGGAAATATGCCTCTGAAACAACATTGTGAGCTCTTGTTGTGACTAAAGGTCCTCAGGCCCAGGGCAGAGAGCATTCAATTGTGTTTTCCATTGATAATGAATAGTGATCAATTAGTCACAGTGTCTAACTACAATGCTCCTTTCCAAATAGTTCTCGACCAGTGCTCTGGGTTTGAAGAAGAGACATAATCCACATGTATAGTTTTCTGTTCTTCCTTATTTATTCTGTGGAAGGCCAACATGAATTGTACTTCTGTAAAATGGTAAATTGTAAATAACAACGATCTTTCAACAGCTCTTGCCAGCGTGGTTTATTTCTGCGCAAACAACAGGAGGTGATGTCCCACATCTCCTGTGTGTCTACTGATGGAGGGAGGTTGCACCACTCTTCAATACCCACCACCAGAACAGCAGAACAGATACTCCAGCAGGAAATAAAAGCCAGGTTATTTGCAGAGAGCCCCTGACCCCCATCACTTCATTTTACTCATACTTCTGACTGAGGAAGTCTGGCTCCAGCTTCCTCCAGATCCCATCAGTACAGGTGAGTCTAAAGTGTTGTATATCCTGTCAGCCCCAGAAGGGGAATAGTTCCCCTCCCACACACACACACACTCCCCGCCACTGCCAGCAATAGATGCCCTAAGGGGAATCACAGCCTAGCTTGGCACCTTCTTGGTATTGCTGGATATAGGCTGGTTCCGATGCAGCTTGCCAAGTGTCTGACACTTTGACTGGCACATCTGTATTTGGCAATCATGTCATGCCTAGAAGCATCTGAGGTAAAATCTCACTGATACAGATTCCTTTTCACACTCTAACTTGTCTAATGGGCATTCAGCCTACTGCACCTCAAGCCAAGGTGCCCCTGGGATTGTAGCAATGTATCATATTGTGCCACAAAAGAACATAAAAAGATCCTTTGGTTGGAAGTGGAAAGAAGACAAATTCAATTAGAAAATCAGCTTAAAATACACATTTTTTAATGCTGTATGTCAGGGATTTCAAACTCATTTGGTCCTGCAGGCTGGATGAATAATGTGGGTCTAGTTCACAGGCCAGATCAAGCACATGGACTGCCCCTCCTTCCACTTGCATGCCTAATCCAGCACACACAGAACCCACCTGGGCTGGTTTAGGATGCCAGCCTGAGCAGGCGCTGCAGCCCAGGACCCAACCTCAGCAAGTGCCACTGGTGGTGCAGCCTGGGATTGGCCCCAGTGAGCACTGTGGGTGGCACACATCCCAGGTCCTGTGCAGCATGTGGGTCAACAGGGCAGCACCGGGGGCTGGGCTGTGGGGCTCCGCAGGTTGTATGGTTGACACCTCCACTATAGGTGATGACCTGCTGGAACAAGTTTCACAGGGGCACGGTGGATTCCCCATTGCTGGAAGTGTTTTTAAATCAAGCTTCAATTCTATAGCATTGGATGCCTTTCTACAATATACGCTCATCACGTGACAGGCTTGAACAGGCTTCATGCCGAATTTCATGGAGGGCATTCTCATAGGATCATACATTGTCATTATTAGCAGCATTGCCAAAGTAGCAATTTGGTTGCTAGACCTAACAGCTTTTCGAGAACCCCAGCATTATTTAGATGCATCTGCTATATCAGAGTTTTGGTTACTGTCCACGCTGGCAGGTCTGAGACCAGCTGCTGCAGATGAGCTTGCTGGGGAGTCCTGAACACACCTCCTCCCTTTTTGCTGCTACATTCCTCCTCACACATACTCTGATCCCAAAAGCAATTCAGTCTGAATCACAATGATTAATGTGTGAGAGAAATGGACTGCGAGGGACAGACAGTTTCAAGGAATTGAGGCATCATTAGCAATCTCTCAATTTGAAGATGATCTCCACCAGGGCTCACTGATGGGTCTTGAGATGACTTAGGAGTCCAATCCTTGAGCTGCACATCTGTCCGCAGAAGTTGCAGGTCTTTCCGCAGTGGGAAGTAGTCTGCGGACTGGGAGTCTTCTCTGTTTCCTTCCTCCGCTTTCTCTTCTCTGCCAGGTCAAGATACTTCACCTCAAAATGAGCTGCTGCTTACTTGAGGTTGCGGCACTGGAGTGAGTCAGCAGCCAGCTCCTCCCAGCTCTTGATGCCAGCATCTGTTTTCTTGAGGTCTGCTTTCAAGGTGTCCTTGGAGCACTCCCTCTGGCCACTGCGAGATCTCAGGCCATTGCTAAGCTAGGAAGCCGAGATGCAGAGGCCAGCAAACACACCTCGTGCTACTAGGAAAGAACAACGGTCACAGATCGTGATTTGGTTTCTCTCTCCTGTGCTCGATGGGCCCAGATATCCTGCTCTCGGGGAAAGGGGTGGGAAGAGCTGTGGGAGTCCGGAGCTTGCCTCACACCATGAGGACGGATTCTGCAGGGGCGAGACCTCCCAACACGGCGGTGAGCCCGTCTGCACCCTCTCTGCTGTACAGCACTGCTCTTGGCAAGGGTGCCGGATGGCGAATACCCTGGCGTGTGGCTGGGAGGAGCTTGCTTTGGCTTCTCTTAACCTCCTGGGGATAGAAGAGCTCCAGGCAGCCACCTGGTTGGACGACCCCCACCCCCCGCATTGGAGCAGGGGCAGGGAGTGCTCAGCGCCACCCTCTGCTGTTACAGTGCTCCCCACCCACTCTGCCAGGGCCTTGCCCCCCACTTGAACATGACGTCACGCCTCTGCGGCCTGACGTCAGCCTTGCCCACGGGGACACACTGTCCTGATCCAGAGAATGAATGACAGTCCGCGTCTGTCACGTGCAGCAGGGGGAGCCCTGCTCATTCACGTCATTCCCCAGCCTCCGGCGCCGCCTGCTGATTGGCTCGGCCCCCTTCGCGAGCCCCCATCAGGCCACGGTCATGCCATTGACTTGTGAGCCGGAGCTCTCTCCGCGCCCCGTGATTGGCCGGCTGCGAGTCCGGGGGCGGGAAGGCAGGACGCCGCGCGCTGGGACAGACATCTTTCTGCGGTGGGGGCCGTGGCCAGGCCCTCCCCACCGGCGGGCCTGTGCCAATCACAAAGCG